CAATTTTGTCCAGCTATTGTGCCATTTCCTTTTAAGACTTTTAAAAAATGCCTGCTTTTCTTTTGTCCCAGGGTAGCTGGCTGTGGGGACCCGCTCTCAGTCTGTCTCAGATTTTACATTTCTGTTTCTCTGATATCCAGTACACCATGTGATGTGTGTGTGTTTGCTCCTGGTGCAGATTGCTTGGGCTTATTTAGCAGTCCTGTGCTTCCACTCCCTTCCCACTCTGATTCTTCTCCTCCCACTGGTGAGCTAGGGTGGGGGAAGTGCTCGGGTCCCTCTGGGTCACAGCTTTGTATTTTACCGTGTTCGGAGATGCTAGGTTCTCACAGATGTAGCCTGGCTGTTGTACTCTATCTTCTGGTCTCTTAGGAGTAGATGTATTTGTTGTATTTTCAAAAATATATATGGTTTTAGGAGATTTCTTCCACCCTACTCATGCCACCATCTTGAGCTCCCTCTCCCCCAGCTAAATATCTTTTGATGTAAAGAAGGGAAATGGTCAAAACTTCTGTAGACTATAATATGGAACTAGTTTTCTAAATTTTTTTTAGTGAAAATCTATTCTACTTATTGGGTTCATCATTATCTTCAAAAATTCGGGAGTTTTTGAACTTGACTCCCTGAAATGGAAGAAATTTATCTTCTGCAATACAGCCTGATTTTAAATAACTGGTGCTAGAATTGTACTTGCATTTCATTCCCAGTCCCCTAGACACACACAGTTCCTATCAGTACAGAGCCTTCATCTGCCCTGTTAGTCTAGGGTCATCTAAATCTTAACCCAGGTATGTAAACTGCTTGCCCTTAGAGTGTATTCTTGAAAACTGAAATACTTTTAGTCAAATAAGCTAAAAAGAAAGAAGGCAACTGAATATTAGTAACTGAAATCTTTTTATTAGTTTGTCTGTGTATATGTTCTCTTATGAAAACCCTTGCTAACTGTAGTCATTATGTCTCAATCTGTATGTTTGTGTGTCTAAGTGTGTACATGAAATGTGTTTTCCTACCTATGGATGGTATTAATAAAAATTGATTTAAAGACAAGCGCTTGTAAAAATTGGGCATTCTAAAACTTTCATAAAATTTTGATAGAAGATATGAAACATTAATGCTAATTTAAGTTGAACTAAAAACAGACACGTCCTTATGGTTATCAGCTGCCTAAGTTTACCTAAAGTCATTTAAGTTGATGTTATCTGTTAAATCTTTCAAGGAAAAATGCTTGGCTTTGTCTAATGTGAGTAATGTTAAGCTCTAGAGTCAGATCAGTTAAAGCTCAAAGGGCCAGAAGCAACTTGGCCTGGAATGTTTGAGTGCTCTGCAAATAAAGGGTATCTCAGCATAACCTGTGACTTCACTGTAAACAGCCCTAATGAACAGACAACAACCCAGCCCACCTTAGCGGCAGGGCAGCTGGTACAAGTCCACACCCTAAGCCCTATCTTCACATTATCAAAGTAAATGTGGCGTGGGATGCATCCTTCCTACTCTAAAAGATTATCCCAGAAATAGTCATAAAAGACTTCTCTGAGCTCTGCTGTCTGATTGTGATGACAACTTGAAACTTTTAGATCCCACATCTGTTGCATTTGCAGCTGCATTCGTCCTGCCAGTTCCTGGACTTGTCGGTTGAATGCAAAATGAAATATCTAAGTTAGCTTGTGCATATAGTAAGACAAATTTCACTGCTTCCATATTATCTGAACTCAATCGAGGATTGGGGGAAGTGCAAATTGCAGTACTCCAGTATCGTGTTACTATAGACTATCTGATGTTAAAAGAACTTACAGGATGTGAACAGTTTCCAGGAATGTGTTGTTTTAGTTTGCCTGATTTTTCTCAAACTATTCAAAATCAATTAGACAATATTCATTATATTATTAATAAGTTTTCACAAATGCCTGGGTTATCTAACTGGTTTTCTTGGTTTCATTGGATATGGTCGGTAATTGTAGTTCTGCTTTTGTTGTGTATCTGTATTCCTGTTCTGTTAATGTGTGTACATAATTTAATTATTAGTTTGTTAAAACCTATACATGGTTACATTACTCTACAAGAAGTTATGTCAAAGAAATAATCTCATATTTTCTTCCTTTGCTACTTTTATAGCTTTTCTTTTTCCTTCCTAAATTCCTTACTAGAATTTGTGCCTCATACTTAAAATTACTGTGTATCATAATCCTTCTAGCTGGTAAAGATACCTCAAGACAAGTGCTGGGCATAGAAGCCACGGGGCATAAATCTGCAAAGAAGTAAAAAGCAAACCTTTTCAAAGAATATTGCTTCTCACTTACCAACTTTACACCTCTCTGTATAGCCCTGGAAGATGGCTGGTTAGCCGGAGATGGGTAAGATTCCTCAAGGGAGGAACAACCTAAGGCAGGCACAGTCAGTTGCAGAGGGGCCATCAGGTGAGAAAATGGGGGCCAACAGAGGTGAGGCTTAGAACCTCACCCCCCACCCCCAGCTTTGAGAGAAATCTCCTGCACCCATGGCTGTTTAGTCGCCCTTGTCTAGCTCAGATCAATACCTAGTCTATAGGCATGGACCTGACTGCCTACACTTGCCTTCCTACTGCACTCAACTCTACTTTCCATCTTTATTTTACATCACGAGATTTAAAAGATAGGTGATCTTTTATGAAAAGATAAACTGTGTTAAAAACCTTTCTATTACAAACTGTAATCTTTATTATGCCTACCTACTACTTAAACATTTTATTAAAAAAATAAGGGGGAAATGTGGGATTAATATAGAAATCAAGTATAGAAATCAAATGTATAATCATATATGACTTCATTATTTTTCCTGTAATTTCTAATACATGATCAAGAACAGAACAAACAAGACCAGAACAGTTTCTGTGACCTAATTGCCCTTGCTGTTGTTTCAATACCATGTAAGACGTCACACCCCAGGAGACTGGAGACTGCCGAGGATTAAGTTTAGAGTTAGTTAATGATTGTGTATTAAGTCCCCCACACAGAATTCTAATGTTAGCATTTATTTGCTCAATAAATATGAAGGGTGCCCTCTCAGCACCACTCTTGTGCTGTTAAGCCTCGAGTCCCCTGGCTGGTCCTTTGAGATCTTCCATATCTCATCGTGTCTCCTCCCTTATCTGTGGGTCAGAAGCAGGGAGGGACCGACAAAGACAGGCTCCACAGCTAGTCTTTTAAAAATGACTTGAGAAAGGAAGAAACTGTCAGATTGTTTTCCAGAGTAACTTTGCCATTTTGCATTCCCGCTAGTAATGTATAAGTGATATAGTTTCTCTGCATCCTCAACAGCATTTAGTGGGGTCACTTTTTTATTTTAGCTATTCTGATAGGTGTGTAGTGATAACTAATTGTGGTTTTAATTTGTATTTCCCTGATGGCTAATCATGTTGAGTATCTTTTCATGTGTTTATTTATCTGTATGTCCTCTTTGGTGAAATGTATCTTTATGTCTTTTGCCCATTTTTCTTATAAGATTATTTGCTTTTGTCCTACTGTTGAGTTTTGAGAGTTTTTTTAATATAATTAGATACTAGTTCTTTGTGAGATCTGTGGTTGGTAAATATTTTCTTCTAGTCTGTAGCTTGTTTTCTTATTCTCTCAGCAGGGGTCTTTCCAGAGCAGAAGTTTTTGATTTTGATGAGGTCTAGTTTACTGGTTTTTCCTTTTATGGATCTTATTTTCAGTATCGATTTTAAGAGTTCTTTGGCCCTAGATCCTGAAGATTTTCTTCTGTGCATTTTTTTATGAAAGTTGTATAGTTTTATATTTAAGTCCATGATTCATTTTGAATTGATTTTAGTATAAGATATAAAGTTGAAGTCAAGTTTCATCATTTTGCCTGTGGATGTCCAGTTGCTTCAGTAGCAATTATTGAGAAGACTATCCTTCCTCTTTTGAATTGTTTTTTACACCAAAAATCACTTGGGCAAACCTGCAGGGGTGGACTCCTTTGCACAGGCTTCTTCCCCAGGTGTGAAGAAACAAACATTCTTTGAGAGGCTGAAATGTTCCCTAGGTAGTTTTTTTTTTAATCCTCACAACCACCCCCCATTTTATACAGTGAGGCCACAGAGATTTCAAGAGGTTAAAATGGTGTGTCCAGGTCATATAGTTCATAATTCAGAAGCTGAATTTGAGCCCAGCCCTGCCCGCATGTTCTCTACTCTCTTCACTTTAGCTCTGCTGTCTCCTGAAAGTGGAGACCCGTTAGCCTCTAATTATGATGAATTTTAATTTAAAATGAATTTCTTATAAAAAGAAATAGAGCTTAGTAGAAAGCTGGATTACTAGCTTACAAATTATAGTTCTTAACCCTTTGGTGGATCACAAAATCATTTAGGGGATTCCCAGTTAGCATTTGTTTTGTTTTTGAATACTTGAGATATTTTCAAATATTTACTATTAGTAAAAGCACATTTGATATTATATCAGTTGTTGCATTTGTGTTGGTCTATTTCAGGTTTTTCATGTCTGTCTTTCTCCACCAATACCACAGAGTCTTGACTTCTGTAGCTATAAGTCTTGAACAGACTGATTCCCCATATTCTTATTTTTCAAAGTTGTTTAGGCTATTGTAATTTCTTTGCCTTTCCACATAAACTTTAGAATAATCTTGTCTATATCTGCAAAAAATCTTGCTGAGATTTTGATAGGAATAGCATCAAACCTGTGTGTCTATTTGGGGAGAATTAACATCTTTACTATCTCGAATCCACCAATATGTGAATATGGTAGGTCTATCCATTTATTTAGATCTTTTTTGATATCTTCCACTAGCCATTTGTAGTTTTTAGCATATAAACCCTGTACGTTTTACTGTATTCTGGAATATTTTCTTAGTTTACCTGAATATATGACAATCTAGCCCTGCTTTCCTTGATACTGGCAGACACCACTGTGCAAATATTCATGCATCCATAGATAATTGCAAATTACAGGATTTGGCTGTACCACCATTTTCACATCTCTCCTGAACAGTAATATTGGTTATTTCAGTCTCTTGCCAGTGACATCCGATGTCCCAGAAAGTGGCATTGTCCACTACAGTGCTGAAAAGATACTCCTGACTTCCCAGCAGCGACAGCCTGCGTAAGACTTTGTCACATTCAACTGGGTAGATCCTGAATAGGCATGATGCCTCCAGGCAGGTGGGATGCTGTCCGTCCAGCTCAGGCCCAGGCTTCAAGGGAGCGAGGACATCTTCTTCAGATGGTAAAGAAAGAAGAAGATGATGAAGGCTATACTTCAGTGCAGGCTGCCAGGCCACAGACACTCAACCGTCCTGGCCAGGAGCTGTTCCGCCAGCTTTTCAGACAGCTTCGCTACTATGAATCTTCTGGGCCCCTAGAGACCCTGAGCCGTCTCCGGGAGCTCTGCCGCTGGTGGCTGAGGCCTGATGTTCTCTCCAAGGCTCAGATCCTGGAGCTGCTGGTGCTGGAACAGTTCTTAAGCATCCTACCTGGGGAGCTCCGGACCTGGGTGCAGCTGCATCACCCTGAGAGCAGTGGGGAAGCTGTGGCCCTGTTGGAAGAGCTGCAGGGAGACCTTGATGGAAAGCCATGGAGGGTAAGTGTGAACAAGTGTGTGGTGCAAAGTGAACTCTGCCTGCCAATGAGCCAGCTTGTCTGGGTGAGATTGGCCTCTGAACCCTCATTGTTGAGGAATGCAGGTGAAGTCTTCTCATTCCCTTGGCACCTGAACAGCTGAGAACTGGACCCTAAACCGAGGACCTTTTAGCAGGCAACCCTTCCTGCCTTCCCAGAGGACTCATCTCCAGGAACACTATCTTCCCCAAGGCCTACATTAGAGGCCAGGGAGGATAAGGGGTGAAGAGATTCCTCATTTCCCCTCTGCCTGTATAGGTGATAAAGGGCCTAGCTTGTGCTTCCCTGGGCCTCTGCCCTTTAGAAATTGGCCACTTGGCCTCTTCTCTGAATTTGCTTTCTGATTCCCCATGGGGCCCATCTCACAACATTTTTTTCTCACCAGGATCCAGCCCCTGCCCAGAGCCCAGATGTGCATTGGATGGGTACAGGAGCCCTGCAAGCCACACAGATATGGCCCACTGCTTCACATCTCAGGAGCAGCTCTGCTCTGGGGGACCACCTGGAGCCTCCCAATGAAATAGGAGTGCGTGACTTCCTCGCTGGGCAATCCGGTACTCACTGCCTGGCCCTTAAACCCCAGCCTTGTGCCACACTTACAAATTTCCTGTAGTGCCCTCTTTTCACAAGCTGTCCTCAAGAGAATCGCTTTCTTTGCTGGTCTTTAGCTCTATGTCCTTTCTACCCATTCTGTGACCCATAGCTGCCTAGGTCCTCCTCCCATTGCACCCCCTACTCCTGACTCCCAGCAGACACTGGGTAATGTGAAATGGGTGTTTAACAACAGTCCATATCTGCCTGTGGGCACAGGGGGCAAAAGTGGGCTTCTCAGTAGAGCGCCAAGAGCTGGGCTGTCCTCTCTCATTGCTCTTCCTTCTCCTTCAGATCTTACTGCTGCACGGGCACTTGCCCTCTCCCAGAGAGACGGGTGCCCAGGAGACCAGGTGACAGCCCAGCCTCAGGTGAGCCGCATGACTTTTGGTCCTTCATGACTTCCCAGTGTTGCTGCCTAATAGAGTAGCTGCACCTCCTCCTCATCCTGAATCTCTGGATGTGAGATCCAGAGACTAGATTATTCCCCTTCATCCCAGAGCTCTTCTGTTAGGTGTTGGTCTTCTCTTTCACTCTTACCAAATCCATCCTGTACTCGTTCAGAACCAGCCCCATTCCCTGCCCCTTCCTAAAAGCCGGGAGCTGTGGATAGGCTCAAGGTGTAGGATGTGTTTTTCAGGAGGCTATGACTTTCAAGGATGTGGAGGTGACCTTCTCCCAGGATGAGTGGGGATGGCTGGACCCTGCTCAGAGAAACCTGTATAAGGATGTGATGCTGGAGAATTATGGGAACATGGCTTCTCTGGGTAAGGCATTGATACCCCCATGCTTCCACCTTTATTTCTGCTTATTAGTTTTCATTATGGTAGCTAGAAAGGGGCCTGACCTGAGATTAGATCATGGTTCTGTACTAACCAAATCATTCAACCTATCTTGAAAAACAGGTATAATAGTACCTGTTTACAATAACTCATGTAATTGTGCACTTTAAGCCATCTTATTGTGCAGATTAAGCCATGTGTTGAGTTCCTAGACCCTTTAGGCATCCAAAACATGTTGGCTTATTTAACTGATTGTCATGTGGTTCCCACCTCCAGAAAATTCCAGTGTTATTTTTGGCTATGACTTCTCTGAGCCCCTCTTGTCTCTGCTCAAAGCTCTTACAAATGGTATCTGGACCTCCTACCCTATACCTTTGTCCACCTGCCTCCCTGGTATTTCCCTCCTCCCTACCAGGATCTCAGGCCTTAGTGGGTCTGTATGATTTACCTACCTTCCAACCTATCCTCTCCCCTTCTCTTCTGCAGTAGGGCCATTCACCAAACCTGCTCTGATTTCCTGGTTGGAGGCAAGGGAGCCATGGGGCCTGAATGTTCAGGGAGCTCAACCTAAGGGGAATCCAGGTGCTGCCCCTGCAGGTGAGTACCAGAAAACCTACCAGATCCTGCTCCTCCCACATCTGCTCTTCTCTTCAGGGCTTTTACACGAAGAAAATCACAGGGAACTTACTCCATTGTTTGTTATATGGAAGATCCTTAGCGGTGTTGGGAACCCTGGACTTTTGCCCTCCAAATTGGTCTTTCAGACATTTGTTTCTGGCCCTGCTTCTTCCCTAGAAGCTCACTCAGTAACAGTTCTTGCCCACCTGGAAGCTTCACCATTCCTTTCTTTTCCATTCATTCACATTCCTCCTCAACCGTGTGCTGTGCTCCTGCTGAATCCCCTGTGCTCCTTCTTCCTGCTTGTAGGAGCTGTCATCCTCCTCCTGCTCCTCCTCTCTGTGTGACCCTTTTCCCCATGATGGACTCGATCCCCCACTCTTTCAGCGGCCCTCCTTAGACCCCAGCCTTCCTGCTGTGCTCTTGTACGATGATTCCTCTCCTCACTTGCTATTGAACACTCCCCCTCAACCCTTTTTATTTCTCAGTGGGATGTGATTTCTGCCTTTGTCCAGCTGCTGTGCTGATCTTGCTTTTCCTCATCCCTTTTCTGTCAGCTGGAATACTCTTCCCAGCTTTGTCTTATCCCTGACTGTTTTTTAAAGGTACTGGCAGTCAGGCAAAAGTCTCACCACCCAAGTTTGTGACTTTTTTTTTTGGCCCTTGGTGCTTTTTGCAGTTCCAAGTATGGGAAGAGAGTACATTCTCTTGTGTTTTATTTTATCTCAGAAGGTGAGCTCCAGATTAAAACAAAGAAGTTCATCTTAAAACATGAACCTTTGGAAGAAGACAAAACTTTAGCTATGCCACCAGGGTGCTGTGCAACAAGTGTTTCTAAGGGATCAGGGCTTAGAAACTCTTTTGAACAGAAGAGCAGGTTAAAGGAGCAATGTGGAAGCCCTGGGCAAGTGAGAATTAAGAAAGAAGAGACCCATTTCAGTCAAAGGACAGGAAAAGAGTCTGAAGAATCAGGAAAAAGTAGTAGTCTTAATCTAAATCATGTTACATATTTGAAAGTTCCCAGAAGAAAGCGATCACTTAAACATGGCTGTGGCAGGCACTTAAGAGGGAATTCATACCGTTATGACTACAAGGAATATGGGAAAGGGCTCAGACGCATGATTGGTGGGTTTAATCTACATCAGCGAATTCATGCTGGACTAAAAGGGAATACAAAGGATGCGCGTGGGAAAGACTTCAGCCTTAGCTCTCATCCCCAGCATGGGCAGAATCTTCACACAGTGGGGACATCGTATAAGTGCAGTGACTGTGGGAGGACCTTCAGTCATAGCTCCCATCTTGCATGTCATCAGAGACTTCATACTCAAGAGAAACCATTTAAATGTAGGGTTTGTGGGAAAGCCTTCAGGTGGAGCTCAAACTGTGTGCGACATGAGAAAATTCACACTGGAGTGAAACCTTATAAGTGCAGTTTATGTGACAAAGCTTTCCAGCGCAAGTCTGCCTACCGTCTGCACCAGGAAACCCATGCTAAGCAGCAGTTTCTTGAATCTAATCAGTGTGAGGAAGCTCTTATCTGTGGCTCAGGTTTTGATGATAATTTGAGAGACCCAAATGGGGAGAAACCCTTTGACTGCAGCCAGTGTAGGAAATCCTTCCATTGTAAATCATATGTACTTGAGCATCAAAGGATTCACACTGAAGAAAAACCCTATAAATGTACCAAATGTAGGAAAACCTTTAGGTGGAGATCAAACTTTACTCGTCATCTGAGAATGCATCAGGAAGAAATAATCTATGATCAAGACAAATGTAGAGAAGACTTCAGGCAGACTTCCAACTGCAGTGAGCTCCAGACTGCCCCCACTGTGGAGAATGCTTTTCTGTGTCAGCCTTGTGGGAAAAGTTTTACTCAAAAGAAATCTCTTATTTATCATCAGAGAACTCACACAGGTGAGAAACCATACCGATGTAGTGACTGTACAAAGGAGTTTACTCATCAGGCGGCCTTTATTGCTCATAAGAAGCAGCATGTCACTAAAAGAAAACCTGAAGATGAGCCATCTTTTAGTCAGGACAGAATGTTCCAAGTTCCTCAGAGCAGTCATCATGGCATGGAGGAAGACTACAAATGTAGCCAATGTGGCAGAGCCTTCCGTAATCATTCGTTTCTCCTCATCCATCAGAGAATTCACACCAGAGAGAAGCCTTATAAGTGCAGGGAGTGTGGGAAAGCTTTCAGATGGAGTTCAAATCTCTCTCGACATCAGAGAATTCACTCTTTCAAGAAACGGTATGAGTGCCACGAAAGTGGGAGCACTGAAAATCTGCAGCCACAAATTCTCTCTGGTGAAAAACCATTTTGGTGCCAAGAATGTGGGAAAACCTTCACACGTAAAAGAAGTCTTTTAGATCACAAGGGAATACACAGTGGAGAGAAGCGCTATAAATGTAATCTTTGTGGGAAATCTTATGATAGAAATTATCGCCTTGTTAATCATCAGAGAATACACACTAAAGAGAGACCTTTTAAATGTCAGTGGTGCGGGAAGGATTTCATCGGAAGGCATACCCTCTGCGTTCATCAGAGAAAACACGCCAGGGCGGCACAGTCCGGATGCAGCCTGACTGGGTTGTCTTCATGCCAGGACACAGGGGTGAGTTTACAGGAATTAAAACCAATTGGGGAGAAGCCCCTTGAAGACTGTGAGGAAGCTTGTGACCAGAGCTCCAGGCTCACTGGACTCCAGAAAAAGTGCCACAAATGTAGCACATGTGGGAAAACTTTTAACAAGAGTTCACAGCTCATTAGCCACAAGAGATTTCATACTCGAGAGAGGCCCTTCAAATGCAGAGAGTGTGGGAAGACCTTCAGGTGGTCTTCAAATTTGGCTCGGCATATGAAGAACCATATTAAAGAGTAGCTTGGGGTCTGACTGGAGGGAGAGGGGTTCCTAGCTACCTGCTAGAGGACTCTTAATTGAGGAAAACCTTTACAAAGGGCCCAGCCTCTTTTTTGGAAGCTAATGGCAGAGAATCTTGAGGATTTTAAAACTCATGGTGTCTCCCATCCTACCTGCTGGGAAGTGAGATGCTGGGAAAGAGCAGGAACATGTTCTTTGGGGCCCTTCTGGAGGCTCAGGCCCCAGGAGTAGCCTTTTCACAGTGGCCTGGAGCTGCCCCAACCAAGTCTCCTTCCATAATTCTAAAGGGAGAGATCATTGCCCTTTGTGGTTTGACAAAATGTTTGGTATAGTAGGCTGTGACTGCTGGGAAGGGGCCAGTTGGATCTTAAGTGTCCATTTGAGTTAGGCCTGTGATTGTGCATATTCTATTTGACCATACAAGCAGCAGCAAGAACTCTTAGTCTCGCCAGATGTCTCCTGGGGGCTCTTGGCTAAGGCTTCAGTCTTCACAGATGGCTCTGGACATCTGTAATGGGCACAGAGTTATCTCAGCGGCAAGTGGAGGAGAGCAGGCCACTGGGTTCAGTCACCTGGAGGATGGAGCTCTCCAGGTCGCTGTCACCATCTCTCTTCCACAGGTCTGTGTGGCAGTAGCAGTCCATCTATTAAACAAATGTGCTAAGCACCTCTCATATGCCAGGGTCTCTTGTGTGTGCTAGAGACCCAACAGTGACTGGATTAGACAAAAAATCTGCCTTCTGAGGATCTTTACAGACAATAAACAAATAAGGTATATAGTATTTTGGATGGTTATGTATGTTGTAGACAAAATGACCCAGAATGAAACGGAGTGCTGGATTGGGAGGTGGCTTGTGATTTTAAATATGCTGGTTAGTGAGGGCCTCAACTGAGAAGGTGAAATTTGAGCAAAGACCTGAAGATCAGGGAATGAGCCCTGTAGGTCCTAGAGACAAGGAGGTGGGGTCTTGCCTGGCTTCCTCAGGAAATGGAAAGGAGGCCCCTAGGCCAGAGCAGAGTGAGCCAGTAGAAGAGAGGGTCCCTGAGGTGGTGGGCCAGGTCATGTGAGCAGCATGGGTCCCTTCTAGTGTTGGGGCTGCCTCAGAGGTGGTAGGGAGCTTTTGGACAGTTCTGAGATGAATCTGAATTACATTTTATAAGGATTAACCATAGAACCAAGGGCTCAGCCAAATTATATAGATGAAAGATTTTTATGTAGTTACCCCTGCTACCAGTTCCTATGAATGGGACTCCCCACTCCCTACCAATGTCTGAATTTTCTATAAGACCTCCAGCTCTCAGCAGATGTAAATGCTTAATTATTGCACTTGCATCTCTAACTTCTGCACACTGCAGGCTCCCCCTCACCCTCATACAGCCTCTATGTGTTGGATCTGGTACTGGTATCAAGGTCAATCCAAACATACCAGTTCATGTGTCTGATGCCTTCAGGAGAAAGGTATCTCGGTGGGGGAGGCATTGCCTTCTCACTTTCCAACCCACCTGTGTTGAAGCAAAAAGCAAGAATCAGTTCATTAACAAAATAAAGGAGTGATGTTTCTAAAACTCATGTAAGTAATCATTGCTTTTGATCCTTGAAGTGCTCAGATTATAAAAAGAAAATGTTTCACCCAATAGTAAAGCAACATCTCAAACTACATTTTCCTTCTGCGAGTAGGGGCACACTCATGGAGCAGGATGTTTCTTGTAATGAAAAGAGACCAACCTGGAGGTGAAAACAGAGGGTTTGATTCTGTGTGGTCCTGTCACATGGGATGTGCAGGGGGTGGGGAAGAGAGATGCCGGGCAGGGATCAGAGACCTACGTGCTGAGGACCCAGAGTCATGGGAAGGACCTTGGAGTTGTCAGGTTTGGGTCGCAGACTTGGTGTGCCTTTTCTTGGCAGGATGAACTTGGGCAAGTGACTGAACATCTGTATCTATTTCCTGTGTAAAAGTAGAGAAAATGGCTGTGCTACCTGACTTCTGGGATTGGTGAATGAGGGCATGGTTTACAAAAGCTGTGGGTTAGGTGGTTGAGCACTTGGACCAGAGTCTTCACAGAGCTGCAGCTCCCACATCTTCAATGCCACAACCATGGACGTACCCCTTTTCTGTCCATATTTTCATTCCCTGCTCCTGCTGCCTGGCACCTCATAGTGTTCCTGCCCCAAAAGGGGTATTTTTACTGCCATTTTTATAAAATGAGATAAAATTATTTCAAAACATTCAAATCAGATTTAAAAATGTACAAAGAATAAAGTAAAAATATGAAATTTCCTCTATAATGAGATAAGCCATTAATATTTTGGGATTATACTTATGCAGTCTGTTCATTACCTGAGTTTTTAGATAGTCTTAATTACATGAGTAATGTGGTTATCACAGAAATATTAGTAAATACTGATTGGGAAACAGAGAAGTCTTACTTTGGAGCTAACTACGAAACAGTGTAATCAGTGCTGGCTCTAACTTCACTGCCCTTCCCTGTGTGCCCTGCCTGAGCCGTCTTCCTTCATAGGGAGCGCCACACTGCTCTGTGCTGGCCCAGCCCTCACTCACCAGGGCCCAGCCTTCCCTGACCCTCGTCCCTCTAAGATTCTCCCCTGACCCCACCACTCTGGCACTTGTATCTTACTCTGTTAGGTGGTGCCTGGGTTTCCAAAGGATTGAGCGTTCTGAAGGACCAGGGTTGGGTGCTTTTTTATTCATTTGCCATGCAGAGATTTTTTACAAAGTTGCCTCTGTTAAGAAATATAAAACTGAATTTAGTTCAGCTAAGTCAGGATTGGAGTTTTTGAACAGGCCCTGAGTGAAATCTTGACTGGAGGCTCCCATTAAGCTTATTCCTGCTAGTTAGAAACCCGGCTATTTGTGGTTCAAAGCCATATGGTTCCTGTTCACAGTTTCAGATTGCTCCAGCCACCAGTTCTCATTTCCCTGTGTAAAAGTAGAGAAAATGGCTGTGCTACCTGACATTCCCTACCCCATCCTGGCCTGGAGAACATACAGCCTTCTTCCAACCCTGCTCTAACTTCTCTCTGCCTAGAAGGAACTGAAGTTGGAACTGGGGAGAGCCAGATGGGTTGGTATCCCAGAGAGGAGTGGGTATTAGAAGTGCTTGAGTCAGTTGTTGAGTGTGGTTGGCCCACCCTTGTGACAGACTGTCAGCCCAGACAGAGGCATGTGCAGAGTAGAAAGCACAGGAAAAGTAAATATAGACCATCTCATACACCAAGTGGCAAAGTTTTAAAAACTCTAGCATGGGTGAGAATGTAGATTGGTGGGAACTCACTGCTATGGGAGTGGAAATTAGCTCCCACAACTCCTGTGTCAAG